ACTTGTATATCAAAATTTCTATTGGTACACATTATGACAAATTAAAAAAAAATTTCCTATTATTCCGTACAATTTAATTCAAATTTAAAAAAGAGTAAATTTTATTTTTAGTTCTCAATTTTAATATTTTATATAATTTTTATTTTTTAATTTTTTAACGTATATTTTTAGTCTTTTTTTTATTTTTTTAGTCATTTTATTAATTATTCTGTTAAATTTATCTAAATATACATATTTTTAATCTCATAATTTAAAGTGAATGGATAAAAAATATACATATATTAAAAATTGAGAGATTAAAAATAATCATTTTAAATTTATTTTTAATTTATAAAAATATAATAATTTTAAATATTAATCTCTTATTTTATTTTAAAATTTGATATTTAATTTATAAAAATATATATTTATAGCGATAAATCTGAAACGGTACGCAAAAAATTTCGGTATCCGGTACGTACCGTTCCAATAACAAAATCGATACGCATGCCGGTACGGTATTGACTACTTTGCTCTCCAGAGTCCAGACTCCACATCTTTCATACCCATCATCTTCCCTATACGTCTCAAAGCCACAAAGTGCCAAACCCTTGAAAATTTTCAGTAACTTAATTTTGCTGGACTTTTTTTTTTTAACTTTCAATCTTTCCAAACTCACACTTGTAATCTTCCTTTCATCTTCAACAGCCTCTTTTCTCTGGATCTCACCAATGTCTGAGCCTTCTTCCTCTTCAATCTCCACGACAAGACTTACACTTCTTCAATAAGGCATTGGAATTGGTTCAGCCATTGAAAAGCCCAGAAGTAAATCCCCTTACCTCTCGAATTTCGGTTGATCATGTTTATAATCGAAAATACCAAATATTCCGGTGACTGAAACCGTAATCACCAAAGTATTTTCGGTACGGTTTCAGTTGCTAAAAATGAGAAAAAAAATAATTTTGGTTAGTTACATCTTACATATCGGTTTTGGTTAGACCCGAAACCGACCCGTGCCCAGCCTAGCTTTTGGTACCCTTTTTTTGGCACCAATGCCTCCTTGAGTGATTTTAATGATTAAGCACCACGACTTGTTAGAACTTTTTTCAATATTCTTCGGCAACGTTATTGAAGTTTGGGTTTTGCGAAGATGTGCTCAATTTTTTTTTGGGTGGGCAAAAACCGGTTTGGGTTAAATCGAAATCGATTTTGAATTAACTGAAAATTTTTTCCCTCAATTTTAAGAATCGAAATCAAACCAAATTTCTTTTATTTTTTTGGTTTGGTTACCAATAAAATTGGTTATTTTATATTCGATTTTGGTTTTCACCCAACAAACATTAACAATTTTTTTTTCAAATAATAAATTATATTTCATGCCATATTTAGCTAAAGTTTGGCACTTTTTATATGATAATATGAAATTATCAAAATAGATGAAAAGTATATATGTTGTAATTTTTAGATTCATGTAAGTCAAAATTCATTCATAAATAATTTTAACATATCATACAAAATATTAAAAGTTTAGAACCCAAAATTACATTCATTCCATCATTCAAGATTAAAGATTACATTGACTAGATAAAGCTAATAGCAAAAAGTTACAGAACTTGCAACCATAGTTTTTTACTCATCAACAATCTAAAGTGATAAATGACTACACCAAACTAATTACACTATCTATTAAATGACAATCATAAAGTATGCATCTACTGTTAGTCTATCAACAAAAAAGAAATGAGATGCAACTTCCAATGTGCATTTTGTTATTTGTGCATTTTTCTGTAATGTAAGCAAAGGCATATGTGAGGCTGTCCAAACAATGTAGCAACTTGAGCAAGTTAAAATTGTGCAAAAGACTATGCAAATCTCCAAGTGAATAAAACTATCCAAAAAAAAGTCAAGAAGCTTCATAACTTTGATGCTTTACGGTTGCAATATTGGTGATTGATCTGTGATATATTGATATAAACAAAAAGATCCCAAAAAAACCTCCACCATATATATACGAGGATCTATTCATTGGACAAAGGAGAAAACAAATTATGAGGTTAATATAAGCAAAGGCATATGAATCCAGCAATTGTAAGAAAAAGTTAATCCAACAATTATAAGAAAAAATTAATATGTTGCCCATATGAATCTAGCAATCCAACAATTATAAGAATAAAATAATCCATCAATTATAAAAATAAAACAATCTAGTAATTAAGAAAAAAACAATCCAGCAATTATAAGAATAAAAAAATCCTAAACTATAGTTTGACCTTGTTTACCACTAGAAACTATTTTCTTATACTAAGCAAACAACCTCTTTATGTCAAAACAAATCATTTTACCATTTTGCATTCCTTGCTCTTTACAATGCACTTCCATCAATAAAAATTCAAGAAACCCTAATTTGTTCCTCGAATCAAGGACTACAGCATGGAAAATGTTCTTGTTCATCTCAGTAGGAGTACCCTAGTACTTGTGGAACTTTACCCTCATTGATTTTGACATGTCTTTTACTTCCACATTTTTCTCCTAAGATTTCAACAAACAATCAACCTTAAAATTCAATTAGAAGTAAAAATTAATCAATAACATAATATCCCAGCATACACATGTATATTTATTAACATATAATTAATTTTAAATCAAACTTAAAGATGTCAAGGCATTTGTAAGTTCACAAGACAAATCTCACTAATTTTTGGGAAGAGAAGGTTGCTGGTAGTATATAAATTGCCAAAAATCTTCTCTGTTAAGTAGTAGAAGTGCTCCAAGAACCGAACCAGCCTTCTCACATTTTTTCAGTCAATATATGATGGAAAACCAGGTGCATTTGGTCCATAATTCAATTTAGCCTTCATATCTTTGTCACTTCTAGCATATCGTTAAAAAATAAAGCAAATTATTCACAATTCTTAAACAAAAATATAAATAAACTCAACCAAACTAAAAGAACCAAAACAAAATTTATGACAAGAAATTATACCTCTCAAATGCCATTGCATATTTTTCTACAGTGTCCAGCATCATATACAATGAATTCCACCTTGTGGGAACATTGAAGCAAAGCCATTTTTTTTTTTTGTTTCAGTATCTTCAAACTCAACAACATCTTTTAATCTTTTTAATTTTAATGGGTTTTGTCTTACATATTTTATAGTAGCTCTGACAGCAGTTACACTCTTGTGCATCTCCTCTTCATTTATTCCATCACCAACTACAAGGTTAACGACATGAGCTGCATACCTCATATGCAGATTTGTGCACCCAAAACTGCTATTCCCCACTTGGTGAGAGCATTCTTAAGAACCCTAACAATTCCACCATTTGATGATGCATTGTCCACAATCAATGAATATACCTCTTCAATGCCCCAATCTTTCAAACACCTCTCTAAAAGGTCAACTAACTCTTCCCCCTTATGGCTCCCAACAAGACAAAAGTTTAGGATTTTTTTTGTGCAACTTCCAATTTTTATCAATATATAATGTGCAATTAGACGCATGTAAGAAATTCTTTGAATTGAGGTCCATCTGTCAGTAGTAAGTGAAACCCTTTGCCTATATTCTTTGAAAAATGATATAAGCTTCAACCTTTCATCCAAATAAATATTATAGCAATCTCTAGTTATTGTCCTTTTAGATGGGATCTTAAAATTTAGGGGCAATGCAAGTTGACAGAACTTCCTAAACCCTTGCTTTTCAACAAACATAAATTGAATTTCATCAACTATGATCAATTCAACTAAAGCCTTCCTCACAGACTCAGGGCTAAACCTCTAGGTGCCTAAATAAGGCATCTGGCTACCATTCTCAATGTCACCACCACAATAACTAAGCATTGTTTGATTCTTTTTAGACCTTGCATACTGACTACAATTCAGTAAATGACTTTTCATTAAGGAGGTCCCATTAGTTATACTATTACAAGTAAAAAACTTGTTACAATAGTTACATTTAGCCTTGTCTTTCCCATCTTTATCAACAATCTCAGTAAAATGATCCCATGCTTTAGATCTTTTCTTACCTGTCTTTCTTTTCCCATTAACAGCATTCCCTTTCTGTCCTCTTAGTTGTGCTTGTTTGGAATCATCTCCCAATTCAACTTCTACATTTTGTGGCTGCCCACCAGCATCTTGGTTCTGTAATAAGCATACCATAAACATCAACCAACATAAAAGTTTAAATATAAATTAATTTATTTCTTATATACTTTAGAGTAAATAAATCTTAAGTGCAGATACGTACTCTTAAGTTGTTAGGTTGCATCTTTGCTATCAATGTAACAGTAACACAAATAGGAAGAAGAAGAAGAACTGCAATTGAAAGATCAAAGCTAACAATTAGCATAATCCATATAAATGTAAAATTGAAACACACATGATAAGTAATAGAAGATTTAGACACTACCAGTACTAGGCACCAGCAGCTACTAACAGAGTCACAAAAGTTGAAGGGAGAGAATAAGAGCCTAGATGAGAACTAAAAGGTAGGGATTGGGTTTTTGGCTTCATGACCAGAGAAGGATCAAGGAGAAAAAGAATAAGGTTACTACAAGGTGACAGCATTGGCACTACTATAGAGAGAAAAAGATGAGGAAAAGAAGAGAGTTTTAGAAACAGATCAAAATTTTGAAAAGAAAACGATGAACAAGTATGGTAATATGATGTCAGAATCATTTTATACTTACAAAAAAAATAATGGTTGAATGGAAAAAAAATCATGGTGGAATGGCTAGGATGGAGGGAAATTGGATCTTTAGCCTTAGGTCCGATTAGTGATTAGACTAATTTTGGAGGGGGAAAGGATTTGGCGTGGAAGGAAGCTTAAAATTGAGTTGAGGCGGAGGCACGAAGCAAAAGAGGTGTAGAAAGGCGATTGGCAGTTAGGGTTTTCTGCTACAGCCATTACTTCCCCTTGTTCTTTTAAGTTTTGGGCACAAAAAAATTGAGCCTCCAATTCAGTTTTCAGAAGGCCCATTTTTGGTTTTTAGTTATTGGAAGGGCCAACCAAAACCGACCCAAAATTTATCCAGGTAATATCAAACTTGAGACTTAAAACCCAAATACCGTTAGCACTAACCTGAATTAATTTTTTCGAGTCGATTTTTGAGTAACCCTTCAATTACCCACCTGAATGCTCACCTCTAATTTTTTTCGTAATAGTCTTTCCTCCTTGACAGATTTTATGGATTATTTATTTATTTATTTATCTTTTAAAATGAAGTTAAAAGATTATTTATTTGTTTGTTTAATAGTATTTATAATAGTATTATTAATCATTTGTTTAATTAAAAAAAGAAATGGCGGGCTTTTGTTGCTGCTTTTGTCCAGCACATAAAGAGACTGTCACGCTATAAAAAAGCATAGGCTCATGGTTCTCCACTCAGCAAGAAATTAAAAGGATGGAATGGAAGCTGTCTTAATTTTTGAATAATTTTTAAAAGGCGAAACCATAAGTTAAGTTCCTAAATTAATCTCAAATAGCTATTAAACCCTTAAACTTTAATTGATGCATATAAAATTTTAAACTATGCAATCAAAGCAATTTAGCCCTTACTCTTACCGCCAACTTAACTGCCATTTGGAGATTGCTTCATGTGGTGAAATATGGTCGTGTCATGCCTATGTAGCTAAGGATTTGGCATTTAGTTTGTCCACTTGGATGAAAAAAAAAAAGGAAAATGATTTAAAAATAACATTTTTTATTTTTTTACAACTTTAAATGTTAATTAAATAATTAATTCTTTTTATTCATGAGTTTATTTAACTTATATCTTAAAGACACAAATTAAGAATGCAATAAATGTATTTTTTTTGTAATAAATTTGTGCTAAAAAAATAAAAGTTAACATTTAATTTTTCAATTGTTTAATTAAATTTATTCATTTAGCATCAACATTAAAATTAATATTAATTCTTACTTTTTTTATATACCTTTATGATAAAAAAATACTTTTAGGGTATAGATTAAAAAAACCCTTT